AAGCATCAGTCTGCAGACTGAAGGGTCCCGAGTTCGATTCTGGTCAAAGGCATGTACATTGGTTGAGGGCACATCCCTGGTGGGGGGTGTGCAAGAGGCAGCTGGTCGATGTTTCTCTCTCATCGACGTTTCTAGCTCTCTATCTCTCTCCCTTCCTCTCTGTAAAAAATTAATAAAATATATTATAAAAAAAGAATTATTCAGGCGACACAAAGAAAGGCAGAATTATGTGTAGTGAAAAGTTTATTCAAGGGAGTTAGCAGGTGTTCAAGCTGGAAATAAAAGTTGAATCTAGGTATGAACTTTAGGGAGTGGAGACTTTGATAACTCTTTTGCAAGTGAATTATATAGCGTGGTAAAATGGTTTTTCAGGAAGATGTATCTGGCAGCAACTTATAGGATACATTAAAGAAAACCTAAAGAGAGACCAGTAAAATGCTTATAAGTTGGGAATTTAATTCTAATTAAAAATTGAAATTCTTTTTTAATCCTTATCCAAGGACATACAGAGAGAGAGAGAGAGAGAGAGAGAGAGAGAGAGAGAGAGAGATCAATAGGTTGCCTTCCATACGTGTCCTGGGTATGTACCCTGACTGAGAATCAAACCAGCAACCTTTCAGTGCATAAGATGACACTCAACTAACTGAGCTACTCTGTCTGGGCTCATATTAAAATTCTTATTCATCACAATATATTACACTAATGAATACAATGAAGGTAGTTCTTCAAGGGACAGTTAACAACAGAAACACAAGAAGCTGATCGACAACCAAATCATGGTGCATTCTGCTTTGCTATTCTGAGCACTGGCCTTGGGTGGGGATGGGAGGCTCATCTACAAAGGTGACTGAGACAGGGTTCCTGCCCCGTGCTTTGATCATCTCATGGGCCGACGGAAAACTGAGCAGATGCTCTTGGTCCGAAGTCAAAGGGTTTTGTTAGAGATTTAGGAAGGGGTCTTGGGTCCTGGGAAAGAGCAGTCACAGGACCCCAGAGATGGAATCTGACCTAAACCCCGAGGAATGAGGAAAAAGCCCACTTCCTGAAGGGGCTCACATGCCCTGCATGGTCTTGCTGAGATTGGGGTCTACCAGCACACAAGCACAAAGGTGTGTTTTTTTCCAGTTGCAGAGAAAGTCAAATCCATTCTACCAGTACTTCCTCCATAATGCTTAACTCTCTTCTGGTTCCATGTACCAATCAATATTTTTGAGCTATTAGATGTTCTAGGCATAATTTTAAGTATTTTACGTGTATCATTTTAATTAATTCCTGCCAATAATCTTCCAATGAAGAGACTGATAATATTCCTATTTTACTGATGAAGAAAAACTGCCTGAGGTCACAAAGAAATTGGAGAGTCAGAAAACAAGCCCAGCAGCCTGATCCCGGAGCCAGTCCTCGGAGCCATCATGCCACACTGCACTGCTTATCTGAAAAGTTCAATGTCTAGATCAGGGATCAACAAACTAAGGCCCACTGTTGGCCGGCTACCTATTTTGTAAATGAGGTTTTATTGGAACAAAGCCGCTCACGCATTTAGGTGTTGTCTATCGTTGTTTCAAGTCTCAATGGCTGGACTGAGTGGTTGCAACAGAGATCATGGCTTGCAAAGCAGAAAGCATTAACTATCTGGTTCTTTTTTATTTATGTATTGGAGTAGCTTAGTTAATAACATGACATAAATTTCAGGAGTACAACTTTATATCACGTCTGTCTATACTATTGAGTTCAGCACCCGAAGTCTAGTCTCCTTCTGCCACCACGTATTTGATCTTCTTTACCCTCTTCAGCCTCCCCAATCCCTTTTCCTCTGTTGTTTTACTGATGATTTGTTTTGTTTTGTTTTGTTTTGTTTTGTTTTGTTTTTGTTAATCGTCCGCTAAGGGTATTTTTTCTACCGGTTTTTAGAGAGAGTGGAAGGGAGTGAGAGAGTGAGAGAAACATCGATGTGAGAGAGACACATCGTTGGTTTGTCTCCCACACACACCCTACAATTGAGGTAGGTGACCTTGACCTGGAATCAAACCCATGACCCTATAGTCTGTGGGCCTGTGCTCTAACCATTGAGCACCGGTGAGGGCCCTATGAGATTTTTTTTGTTTGTTTGTTAGTTCATATGTTGCTTTTTGTTTTCTATCCCACATATGAGCAAAATCATAGGGTTCTTGCAATCTGGTTCTTTATAGAAAAATCTCCCAAACACTGGCCTGTTTCCTGTAGAACTTTTAGTTAGAAAGGCAATTTTTGGTGCAAGCACGTTGTTTTAGACCTGATTCACTGTGGTAAGCTGCAATGCAAAGGAGTTAGACACCCTTGTTCTGTCTCTCAGCCCTCATAAGCCACAGCTTCCATGAGCTTTTACACTTGACTTCCCTCCTTAAGTGGAACCTGGTTTTGTTTCCATAAGTGTTAGGTGACTACCTGTTTATTGACCAGTCTTTGGGATCACAGAAGCCACATCAGGGTATGAGACTAATCAATTTGGAGTAGTCATTCTTTCCAACAAATGAATATGATTCCATCTACATAATCTACTTAAAGAAATAATAATGGGGGAGAGATTGGAATAGGGGAAGGCTGTATTTGAATCTATGTAATACTTCTTCCCCTGGCCAGGACTAGGATGGAATGAATGAAACACTTGCCTGGGCTACAAAATTTAAGGTGGCACCAAAAAAACCTCAAGTTCTCGAGATAAATAATATATTTTAAAAATGCAAAATATCCATGACGAGCCAAATACCAAAATTTTACATGAAGATAGGACTGGACTCTGCACTTGCCTGACTTGTCCTCCCCTGGTCCCAGCCCTGCTGCTTCTTGACAAAACTTGATACAGTTTAGCACCAACTACTAATTTCAATGGTGCCATGATTCTGCAGATATAGACTCTGCCTCCCATCTAGTGAAGATTGTAGCAGGAAGAAAGAGACCTGTGGTTAATAGTAGGGAACCCAAAGGTCCCATTCCCCATGGAGCAGATTTTCCGTTACATTCACTGCACAAAGTATTTCCGGGAAGCTCCACCATGCATACTGTGTCAGGGTCCGAAAGGCCACAAAGATGAGTAAGGCTCACTCCCAATCCCACTTCTCCTCTACAGCCTGCAGTCTGGGAGCTAAGAAAGCAAGCTTTTGTGTCCAGGAGGTTGGATATGAATCCTGGCCCTTCCATGTAGTGGCTGATACTTCTCTTCACAACCTTGATGACCTGAAGTAGCTAGTGGAGATGAAATTAGTGCCTGCCTTTTAGATCATTGGGAGGACTAATTGGGATTATGCTTGCTGGCCATGTCAGCTGCTACCATCATCATCACCATCTCAGTGGGTGACCAAATGATTCATTCACCTTGTTCCTCACCGGTCCAAGTTAGATCGCCATCATCTGTCACCCACCCACTTGTGCAAGCTGGAACCATCGTTCTTGAATTCTCCTTGAATCCCACTCTACAACTAAACCGTTATTGGCCCAGCCCGTGTGGCTCGGTGGTGAGCATCGACCTAAGATCCAGGAGGTCACAGTTCGATTCCCAAATCAGAGCACATGTTGTGGGCCCAAGTTGTGGGCTCCATCCCCAGTGTGGGGTGTGTAGGAGGCAGCTGATCTATGATTCTCTCTCATCATTTATGTTCCTCTCTCCCTCTCCCTTCCTCTTCTGAAATTAGTAAAAAAATAAAATAAAATAAAAATAAAAAAGTACTAAAAACAAACCATTCTTGAATCTTTCCATTGTGGTTCAGGCCCCCAACCCCAGTGCACAGATCCCTCCAGCAGTGTCTTGTCTCTGGGCTTATCTCCCTCCAGTCCACTCTCCCTGTGCTGCCAGACTGATATCTTCTACAAAGGACCTCATCCACCCACCAAAATTCTTCAAAGACTTCTTCTTAGTGTGGAATAGGGCATTCAAACACTTGAATGCAATCTTTCTGCATCTGGACTTGCTCACCTCTCCACCCTCATCTCTCATTATGCTACCCCCTCACACTCAGCTCAGCCTGAGTTTAGTTGTCCCCACTAGTCACACTGCCTCTCCCCTCTGGTCGTTGCACACAGACTCACCCCTCTGGTCACACTGCCTCTCCCCTCTGGTCGTTGCCTGCCTCCCTCAGATGCTTCCTGCCACACCCTTGTCCCAGAGGTAGCCTTTGTCCTTCGTGACTTGACCCAAGCGTCACCACCCCCTGAGATTTCTACCCTCTCCCCCTACACAAAACCTGACTCAGGTGCTCTTTCTGTGTTTCCATAATAGCCCAGGTGTGCCTGGCACATATTCCTTTTCTTCCCCTTGGGGCCCTATTTTTCATGTTTTGGATGTTTTAGGAAATAAAAACCCATTGCTACTACCAATCCCCATCACCTTCACCCCACCTCAAAAATCCTTGGGTGAATACAGGGATCCCTCAGGAAAAATGTCATTTGCAACCAAGGGGGCTGTCCTTCTCTCTAATAAATGGCCCTGGACGTAGGGTCCAGTCCCCCCATTGGCTGCAGGAGAGCACAGCAGTGGGGGAGCCAGAATTGGAAGCAGCCAACAAAGGAAATGATACAACGTGTAACTGATGAGAGTTTGATCATGCAGTAAGTCATTTTATTAGCAAATTGAAAATAGCAAATGTTGACAGAAGAGTAGAAAAGACTGCATACAGGCAGAAAGCTCCACATGGCCAAACCCAGGCAGGAGTTATTTATTAAAAAGTGGACAGTACAAGCGAAGAAACTATGAGGGTTCCCAGGAGACTCTGACTTTACCCAGGGAGCATCAGTTCCTTGGCCGCATATTTAATTCATGCTATGTGGTTTGGGCAACTCTGTGCAGAGTGAGAGCAAGGGGAGATCCCAGGAAGACAAAGCCTGGGGCATAAGAAGCATGAGGGGGAAAGCTCATGACCGAGGGCTCCAAGGAAAAAGTAGACAGAATGGGGCAAAGAAAAGTCTTACCAGCAGGATAGAGTGTGGCCTCCCTCAGCTGCTGGGCCGGGGTGTATCCCAGCCACTGCCTAGCAGCAGCATTTCTTCTGGCAGCACTGCTGACAGCAGCCCTTCCCACAGCCACAGCCACAGGAGCCACAGCCACAGGAGCCACAGCCACAGGAGCGGCGGCAGCAGCAGACCACGGGGACGCTGCAGCAGCCCCCACAGCAGCCACGGCAGCAGGGGCAGCAGCTGGAGCAGCAGCCGACCCGGTAGCACCTGCAGGTGGTGCAGCCGCCACAGCCACCACCACAGCCACCACCGCAGCCACCACCGCAGCCACCACCGCAGCCACCACAGCGGCCACCACAGCCGCCACCACAGCCGCCACAACCACAGCACCCCATGGTGTCAGTAGAGAGGACTCAGGAGAGGTGAGGAGTGATAGAAGGTGAGGGAGGTCTGATGCCCCTTCTGTTGGGGGAGCCCTTATATACCACCTCTGGGACTGGGAGAGGAAGGACACATGACCACTTCCTTGTTATTGTTTGTTTCAGTTTCTATAGGAAAACATCAGGCTCCTGCTGTTTGCTTCTTTACTAGATACCTTTAGTCTTATTAAGTCACATAGTTTCAGTTTAGCTAAATTTAACCCTGTCTCACCCAGTGAAAATATTTAGCAGAGGACCTACCCCTATTTTCAAATACAGCCTCTTTGACAATAGATGAGCCAGAGAGACCCATCTTCCCATTGACACTTTCCTGGCTCACTGGCTTTTTCTCAGGGACAGTGTGTGCTTCCCCTGACACGGCTCCAGGGAACATTCCTGCGGTCCCTCGGGAGGAGAAGGAGAACACACAAACTTAAATAAAGAAGGTAACTTCCAGCATCGCTATTGGGGCCACGTGGATGTAAACTTGTGGTTATGTCTGCTGCTTCTCCCCGGGTAGATGCCCTGACTGCAAACCGTGAACTCATCCAGTGAGTTGTCAAAATCACCCCACCTGGGATATCCGCAGGCTCCTGCTTCAGCTTAAGGATCGCCTCACCTTTCTGCCTAGTAATTAATTCTTCCTGCATGAGTCACATCTATAGGCCCAGGCTTGATCATAGAGTAGGCAACAAGGCCACTGACATGAGGTTTCAGAGGCCCCAGGAAGCGCCTCTGTCCCTTTCGGGGACTCTGTCATCTAAGGGCTGATTTCTAGAGTATTAGCGCAAGACCCCACTGGCCACAGAGGCTTCCCAAGATTCGTTTGGTAGAATGCTAGTTCTGTTACAGGATACTGAGGAGCTAGGCAAATTCCAGGACAAGAGGAATAGGGAAACCGAGACAAGAAAATTTAACAAGAAGAAAATTAAACAACAGTTTGGGCAGCTTGCAGCTTGTTTGCAGTCAAATCTTATCTTACCCAACCAAGGACTCTTGAGAACAAATGGCTATTACCTCTCTAACCAAAGAATGCAGGCAAGAAAGGGGAGTTTCACTGTCTCTTCTCCCTCACCATAGAAAGCATGGTATAAATCACCCTGGAACTGCTAAGGCAGGAGAGGGGAAGGGGGAAGGGAAGAGGGAGAGATCTCTCTCAAAGAAATCAGCCGTTAGGGGGACATAGGAAGGAAGAGGGATTGTTCACTTCATTGTTTAAACAGAGAAGCCCGCAGTCTCAGTTTGTCAAGATAAAATCACCAAATATTTCTCATAAATTCTGGGAAAGCTGTAACAGAGCAAAAGGAAGACCTTGAGAGTTAATCTGTACCGAGATATCGGGCAGAGGAGTTTTAAAGCCTACAGTCAGAAGGGTATGTACCCTCTTCAACCCCCACCAGGCTCACTTCTCAGGTTAGCCAAGAAGCCCATCTGTGCTCTAGGCCAGAAGTTTAATAGATTTGCTTGCCTTGCTTCTTTAATAAACTTACTTGTTTTACTTTTTAATAAATTGGCTTTACTATAATGCACTTGTTTGGAGTCACTCATTTGAATTTTTTCCTACAAGAACCAAGGAGGGGGCTGTCCAGTAACATCTTTTCTGGTGCTGATGACAGTTCCTTGGGATATTAAAGCACGCAACATCACAAAATGATTCAAATGTGCTTGAAAGTCAGCCATATAAATAAAGCTAAACAGTCTTTTGACTCTAAATCTTTTTAGAGGCTTTGATTGGTCACGATCCTGTGACTCACAAGAAGTCAAACCTACTAGACCACAGAACTTACTTTCACTCTAGTCAGGGGAGAGCTCAGATTTTGATGGTGGGTTTAGAAAAGCACATTAACACATTCAAGAACAGAAATAGGAAGAAGGAGCAGTGGTTCTCAAACATCAATATAATTCAAGAACTCAATGACTACACTCAGTAGGCTTAGAAATTGGAAAGAATTAATCTACACTTTATGGCATATCCTATAGTTTTAGAAACTTAATCGCTTACTTTTATGCAGGAGTACTTCTAAATAGGGCAAAGGATAGCCTATGGACTGTTTTCTTTATGAGGACTCTGGGAATAGAAAACTCATGCCTTCCATTGTTGGCCTATCCCAATGCACTATCCCTCTAGTACTTACTAGTAATGTCTTCTGTACGTACAACAGCAATCTTCCCTGCTTTCATGTTTCCTCTTGTCCACTGTAGACTCAAGAGTGAAATTTAGGAGTCTGGTCATCAAAACTATAGACTTGAGGACAGTCTTCAATAATTTTCTTGTAATAGCTAACAACCCTAGTTTTTTTAGCCTTATTTTGCATTATTCAGTCACTTTTCTTATGTTTACTTTATCTTCAGTATTTCTTTCCATATGTTTTCTTAGAGCTATGAGCTGATGTTTACTACTTTAAAAGGCCCAACTGATTTCTGACAAAGGAGAAAAAGCAATTCAATGGAAGAAGAATAATCTTTCAACAGATGATGTTAGAACAATGTCACATCCATGCAAAAAATCTTAACCTAAACCTAACACCAAAATGGCTACTGAACAAATGAAAGGAAGATCATTCAGAGACTCGATTACCCCCTCACCTGTGAGAGTACCTGTCTTTTACATGGTCTGACTGGTATGTGCCTTTTTATAAGACCCTGAAGTTTTGGAGGGCAGGAACCACGTGGCTTTGATTTTGAACTCCGAGGTCCTTTCACAGTATAAGGCATCAATTAATATTTGATGAATGAATGACTTCACCCTCTTTCCAGGGGATGGCAGCAGGTGGTCACAGCACCAAGAATCAATTTAAGGCCATTTACAAGGCCAGAGAGGTTGGGTTTTGAACAGTGTCTATGTGAGGTGTGTGGGTCACACAGAGATCTGACCCTCCTTTTCTCAGTAGAGTATGCAATTCAGCCGTGTCATTAGACTTCGGGCCAAAGACATTCTTCGCAGAAAACTCACTAAGCAGAGAAGCAAAGTAGTAAACCCAAAGTACAACGTGTCTTCCAGGAACATTTTAAATGGAAACATTTTTAAAAATGCACGTCATCTAAAACAACAGGGGGAAAACGCCCCATAATAATACAGGGAAGTTCATTTAAAATAAAACCAATGGTTTTCATAAAGGATACCCAGGTGACCTTTGAGGTCAGTCTCCCAAGCTTCTGGAGGTCACCAGAGCAGATGATGAAAACTCAGAAAATATCATCCTCTTGAAAGCAAAACTTCTGTATTTTTTAAGATTGAGCTGGTACCTTAAAAAAAAAAAAGTCATAAAAATCTCCCAATCCATCTATAGTTCATTTTTTCTTTTGCTATTGTGTGTTTTTGTTTATTTATTTATTTTTTTAAGTGTAATTAGATACAAGCAAAATTGAGCTACTAAAAAACTAAAATTCAAGCCAAATAGTTGGGCAATAAAAAGAAAACCTTTGGAATGAGGTACCTAAAATGTCTAATCTATGATGGTATTTCTTGAGACCATCCAACATGCTGGATATTCAGCCTCCAAAGAGACCTACCTCCCCAAATCCAACCCAGATTCCACCCGCACTAGCCCAGCCGGCAGCACCTTTGTTTCCTTCAATCACCAGCCTCTTGATCATGGGGTAAGACATTTTGCCAGCAGGACCAAGGCAAGAATAAAGAGACACATCTATTTCCTAGAACCTAAGGCCTTCAAAATAGATTTTGACTGCTTTTTTAGGGAGGAAGTTAAAGAATATTCTTTTTTCTTTGAGTTGCTCTGACACAGAACAGAATCAAGAGTTAGAAACAAGGAGACATGGAAAAGAACAGAAAACAGGTGTCAGGAAATGTTTGCTCACCTACCAGGAGCCAGTCCTCATCAAACACTTCTCCATGGGAGACATGGGACATAGGGTTGAGCATTTTTACCCAGAAATAACCAGATCTGTAATCGTTCATAAGATTGTGGGAATACAGTGAGGGAGGCTGTAATTGCCACAGGCAGATCTACGAGGCCTTTGAAATTTGAGGTGTTGTAAGGTTGATGAGCTAGGATGGGTCATGAGGACATGAGAGAGGGGAGATGTCCACCAGAGTTCACATAGGTAATTGAAGGGATAACATATAGTAAAACGTTAAGGGCAAGTGACCAGTATCACTATCTTTTTCTTAGCTCAGAAGTTGATGCCTTGAAACAAGCATCAATGGGAATGGGGGACAGCGCCCTCTGGTCTTGGCCATATCACCGTGCACCTGTCTGCATGTCAATAAGTCACTAGCCCTCTTTAAGCAGCCATTTCTTCCCTTTGTAAACATTGAGCTCATTTTCTGCCAAGGGTCCTTTCCAGCTCCTAAATTCTTTAGAGTTCAGTGATAATAAAGAACGGTCCATTTTAACTAAAATGTATTCCCAGATATTGATATATGCTTATTAAGCAAAGTACCCATTTGTCTACCGAAAGCAGGAGTTATTTTTATTTGGTCTGAAGATTTCATTGTTACTAACTTGATGTGTACAACTAATGTGAAGTGATTTCAATCAAATTTACTTTCATGATGAGGGTTAAGCATATAATGCTAGAATTGTAATTTACATTAATATAAGGATATAGAACCACATCCTATTCTTAAAATTGAACCAAATATAAAAGAAATATAGACTTGGAACACATAAAAGCTCAAAAGAAAAAGCCATGATGACAATAATGAGGACATAAATCATTGCCACTTATGGAGGGCATACATACACCAATCACATTTAATTTTGAAGACAATCTTGAAAGATACCATGTTCCCCTTTTTACAAATGGAAAAACTAACATCCAGGGAGATTAGACAAGTGCCACATGTGTGAGGCTTTGGAGCTGGAATGGGAATCCAGACTTGAGAAATTCTACCGCCAAGGCTCCTGGTTGCTGCCCGTTAGCACCATCAGTTGCGCCCGGCAGGTTACTGGGTAAACAGGGAAAATGCGGGCTGGAATGACTAGATGCCCAGGTATGTTTTAGCGTAACTT